TTGATAACAAAACAATCAAAGCGGCTGACCATGAGATGACAACGGGACCCACAAATGGTTTCCACCTCTCTCAGTGCCCAATATATAAAACAGGGTAGTTACGCAGTTTGTATATTTTCCATCCAGGCCCTGACAAAGACCTCTGCCCTCAACTCTGGCAAGACATCAGGTGTCGCTGGAATAACACGAAAGGTATTCTGAAAGGTCTGCTGACGTACAACCTGGTTTGTTGCAAAGGTGTCCAATACATTGGACAATGAACCAATTGGGTCGCAATACTACACATTCCGCATGGGACTCACACGGAAGACCAGTGCAATCCTACCCCAACCCAGGCGTTTTTCACAGTTAGGAGTTAGGAGAGTGAGCAGGTGACCAGAGGCACTGCCACTTAAAATCGATGTGATATATGCAGAGTTTGGAAAAGAAATGTATACAGTGTGTACATTAATATATACAAAGGGAAAGAAAATGTGCTAGCCCCCTCTCCTTGGACCTACCTTTGCAATGTGTTTAGCCGATCATCTTACATGTGTTGAGGATACTTGCACCTTCCTTAAGTAACTCTGAATAAGAACAAGCACAGCCTGCTTTGAACAAGTTTGAGGATCGGTCTTTTGAAGAGTATCCTTCCTTCCCTTCCTTCATAAGGATGTTTTCCAACTTTCGGCAAGAACGGTCAAGGCTAAACCCACACTCCCTCCAATCAAATACCTTCTCACGAAATGCCAATAAGTTAGATTGTCCAAGGAGAGGTATCCGCCCTCCAGATGTTTCGGCCAAGCCTGGGGGAGTTGCGCGAGCGCGGGACTCAGTCAGGTCCAATAAATTCCCTCTGGTGGTGGTCCAATAGTCCTCGCTGCTGGAGGAGTCTGAGCTGGTGTCTGTTTCACGCTTGCGTTTCCATTGCTTGTCACAGAGTGGGCTCAACGAGGCGAATCTAGCCAATTCTGAGTTCCCTCAATTTCAACTACAGTTGGCGCTCCATGTCAACCTCGTGTGTCCAAGGAAGGCTATCGAAGGCTATTACACGCTAAGCGCCGGAGATGCTCTTCACAGACTCAAAGGTTTCTCAAAGGTTTCGTCCGCCCTGAGCAGTTCTGGTGACTTTTCAAGTCTGGCCAGCCGCTCATCTGGCAAGGACGCTTGACTTCTTCCAGCAACAGGTCAAGGCTCCCCCACTCGGCGCAGCCGGGCCTGTCTAAACCCCCAATCACTTTGTATGCTTTTCCAGTCCAGTCGAGGAGAGAAGGGAAGGTTGGCTGGAACCTTGTCGTCGCATCTTAAAATCTTCAAGGTCCGCATTTATGTGTGCGACCGCACCGTGGTAGGGGGATCCGGCCCGGGCGCGTGTGCCACACAAACGGCCAAACGTCCTCTCAACACTGGTAGAAGTCAAAGGGTCTGACTTGATGCCAGGTAGCTTAAGCGCGACCAAGTCCTCCCATCAGCAGCAAGGGTTTTGAAGAGGTGAAGGTACATATGACTGCGCTTCGTGTAATGCGTCTGGCAGCTAACCGTAGATCAGGTGGACAGCTGCTCCTCGGCCTCCCACAGGTAGTTCCCATAGCTCCTGCAGCCACAAGGTCTGAACACATCCAGGACCTGGATAATCTTGTCAGGGTCAAGGACAAGGCGGACAAGGTTTGTATTTCACCAGCATTCTGCAACATAACTTCCCCAGTCTTGAGGGCGCTGTTTGTCCGGCCCTTTGAACGCATATCTTTGCGGCGCGGTTCTAAGTCTTGGACTACATGTTGCTTCCTGTATTTCCACCACAGCTTCAAAGCCATGTAGTGAGGCTTCCAGCACTTGCTGTCCTGCTGGTGAACCCACCGTGTACGCGTTCGTGCTTTGCATCTACTGGTGGTCGTGAGGTAACCAGCAACCTCATCGCCAGTCAAATGCCCGCCAATAGTGCCCAGGGATGCGTCAGCCACCACGACCAGAAATCAACGAGAAGGGCCAGGAGAAAGCCAAGAGAGACTCCAGCCAGAAACCAGCCAGGAACTGGGAAAGCAGCTTGGAGAGTGATGCAAACGACGTGCCACCCGAGTAGATAGGTCGGAGAGGAGAGCGAAAGACTGGACCACGTCAGAAAGACCCTGAAACATACACATACATGCACTTGAGAACGAAGGAGCAGCAAAATCAGATTCAGTGTGTCATCGTTTCATGTATGTTCATGGAGCTAGAAGTCGCTAAGCATCACCTAAGATGCAAAGCGGCAATAGCCTGCCTAATTTAAAAGGCAGACAGACCCATTTTTGTGGCAAAACGGTGCTACGTCAAGCACTGGTTGGAATGATATTGATCTACCGACCATAACACTGAAAATGAAAGTGTCATCAATCAATTATATCAATCTCAGGACTGTTAACCTGGCAACGCCAATCAGAATGAAGAAACAGCTATTCATGAGCTCCTGCATGATGAGTTTCCCACGGCTTGGTGTGCTGTTACAACCGTCGCTCAGATCACTTGCATCCTGTCACCAAAAGAGTCAAGGCTCACTTGAAGGTATTTTTCAAAATGAACAAGTTCAAAAAAAACTAATGTCAACTGTTTGGGTGTCAAGCCCGCCCTTACTTAATTGAGTAAAGTAGAAACAATCCGCCGAGCCTTCGCCAGGCGCCGCATGAAGCCTTTCAGATCAAGTGCCAGGCAGCCCAGCATTTAGACTGTAAAATCTCTTCACTGTCACTCAATTCTCCAAGCCTCGACGTCTGTGAATGGCCTGAGACCAAGAAATAAACTTCAAGTCAAACTGACAAAAGTATCAAACACACACCCACATCAAAATATGTGTGTTTAGGTTTCTGCAACTCCTAGTCTCTAGTATCTCCAATGATTACGGGAGGCAGAGCCTACCGTGTAAGAATTAGTACTGTTGGATGACCCCACGGTTTGTTCCATGTGTTTGGTTCATCTTCAACCCACGACCCAAGTCATGGTGGAAATCCAACAAAGCCTGGCTGGCAACCAGTAGCAAAACGGTCGAGCCTCAATCATCACTTCCACATAAATGAGAGAAGGTGAAAAAATGCGCAAAACAGCGCTAAGTTCCCCACGTTGCGTACAACCTCTCAGGCGGCCGTCCAATCCTAAAGACTGTTTTGACAGACCTGACTGCACATATAGCCCCGGCCACTTTCACTGGACCAGCCTCGGACATCCTTTGGAGTTGCATACGAAGAGCTGGGAGCCAAGACTTGAGACCCTGACACACAAAACATAAGTGCCTAAAAGGATCTAAAAGGAATCTACGAGCAATGGTCCTCCAACCTAAAAGCGATTGTTGTGCATCATGCTGTGACACTTTTGACATGTCAAGCTAGACACTCACATCTCTGACCCATGTGAAACAAAATCTCTGACGTCTCATCGAATCTCCGAAAACGCTGCGGAATCACCGCTTTAGACACTCAAAAACAAAGCACTCAATGGCCTCGCAGATTGCGTATCGAACTCAAGGACATGCACGGCAACTCCATCAGACCGCAGCGTTGTGGGCTTCGGGCTTCTACCCAAAGACAGGAATTCAACTCTGGGCCAAACTGGACGGGAAAATAAAACCAAACTTGTGAAAGCAGTGCCTAAACATCAGTCCATGCAAACATGCGCCGAAGGAAGTCGGAAATGTTCTTGATTTGGATTTTCGACTACCAGACCTCACTCTGCAGCACTAGGCACGCCTCTTTTCGCTCGCAAATGAGGTGCCCGGCGCGGCTGCTGCAGGTCTGCTCTCACAGAACGATCCACCACTGGTTTCCTGGCATGTGGATCTTCATTTCATCAAAAGCAGGGAGGTGGGTCAGCTCAATCACAGCCGCCCCGGCATGGTCACCAGGAGCAGGCCAGCCACAACTGCCTACCTGTCTGCAGCCGCGATCACCGCGATCATTTTCAGAAAGGACCATGAAAGGGATATTCACGTGACTCTGCGTCGCTTCTTGATCCCCCTTGGAATTAAGTGGGGGGGACACCGATTTTGTAGTTTTAAAATGCTGCATATGACATCCAAAATGAGAGGCTGCATTTTGAGCTCTATAGAATTGAGGATGTGAGACTGAAAATCATGGCCAGCTCTATAGAATTGGGTTGGGCACATGGAAAACAGGTAGACATAGCAAATACAAACACTATAGAATCATAGGGCACAAGGTACTTTCAAACTGTTTTTCAATTATTGGGTAGGGTTGCAAAATCTGACTACGCTGGAAACAGGACCTCTAGCAACCTATTCCTGCATGAAAGCTACCACAATTCTATAGTACTTCAACATGATCATTGAGCAATCACATGTCCAGCATCAGGCATGTGACCTTGGAAAGACACAGAAACCATCCGCAAATACAAAATCTATAGAATTGAGACCCTTGAAATGTAAAGTTCAATCATTGCTTGACTATAAAATCAGAAAATCCGAATTCTTGACCTTGCCAAGACATGTGTTCATACACACTAATTCTCTATAGAATCGAGGCTCGTAATTTCCAGTGTTCTCTACAAATTCAGACTCTCCGACATGCCACGTCCAACATGAACAGATCATTCTTTGTAAAAGAATGTTTGTTCTGTGATGGAATCATGACCGATTTTGTAGTGGAAATACCAAGGCGGATGCTTCTTGGGAGAAAAAAGATTCGTTTAGAATCTTCCGTTGAAGGAGAAAATTTGCAGGTCAGCGGAGACAACCAACTTCTTTGCCTGGTTGAGCCCATTGGTTGCACTCTCTCGTCAAGTGGAGAGGGGCCAGTTGCATTGCAGGCCGCTCATGTATCTTGACGCAGTACCCAAAAAATGTTCCCCCGGTGTCAGAAATCACACTGATACAGGAACATCTCAGGTCCGCACCTCCCTGGGCGCTCAACAGGGGTGTGGGATCCCCATCCTTGAAAGCCCAAGGATGGGTAGGCTCCTCAATCTTAAGTTGGAACCACCAAGCATCACGTTTCTCGCGAACATCTTTGTTGGTGAGCCATCTGCGGACATAGGCATCACCGCCTTTGCTGGCACTTGCTTGCATCACTAGCGCCCCACCAGTTGTAAGGTGAGGCCTGTTTGTAGTCAGTAGAAAACAAGGCCATCAGGAGGTTGGCAATCATCCGCAGACGGCTTGGGACGCCACTGCTCTCCAGGGACATGAACCAAGTCCAAATGGTTTGAAGGAAAGAATGGGCCAGGAAAATTGCGTTCGTGGCCCAGTTAAGTCTTGTCAGCATCTGTTCAACTTCTTTCTTGGTGAATCGTTGCCCGTCGGCCACTGCAGCGAGCAGGTTCATGACAATCTCACGCTTCTCCGGCGCCATTTGCGCAATTGGCCCGGCCGGGTTGACCAGAAACCCTAACCAGAGGTTGACCTCTGAGAGGGCAGTGGACAGCCCACCGCCAATACAAAAGCAGGACTGAGGTCGTCAACTGAGGATCCAGAAAAAGTCATCCACAAAGATGAAGCCCCAATCAATCTCAGGAAAGACATAGTAGCAAAGCCTAAGTAGGAGGACAGCAATGCACCCCCAGTGAGCTGGGCGCTAGTCATGCCATAGCTGCCCACCATGTTCACCCACCGGTCACCATCGATCTGAGCAATCTGGTATTTCCATTCTGGGGGGGATCTCATACGCCGGTGGGCTTTGGTAACATCGGCTTTCAGGAGGTGCCAGGTGGTGTTGGGCTGGGGTGGCTCCAGGAGCTCCCATAGGGCCGTAGTGGCAGCAAAAGCGAGGGCTGAATCCACCTCCACGCCATTGACCTGCTCGAGCATGGCAAAGGACTTCTCGGTCGCAATCTCCTCGTCCAGAGGAGTCTCTTGCATCACAACGTCCACCCAACCAGCGGTCGGCTCAGCCGCAGGTGTACATGAAGTAGAAGCCTTTGCAGAAAAAGGTTCGCAAGAAAATCTGGGAGGTCGCAAACACTTATCGAATCTCAGTCTCACAGAGACACAGCTTGAGCCAAAATGTCATGGCCATTTTGGCAACTATATCAACAACACATTGCTTGCTCTACACAAGCTCCGAGCAAATGTCAAAAAATGTATCAAAGAGTATCAAAATGTGTTTCTACAGTACCGGCAGAACTTTTCATCCCTCCCTTAACTCTTCAAAAGGGTTGTAATGTCCCTCAATCGGTCTTGCCAACTCACGTGCAATTTAGCCTTTCTCGCCATCCGCTTTGGAGCAATGCATCAAGCCCACGATTTCTCAGACACGTGCAATGGCGCCATTCAGAAATACCAAGCCTCGCAACTTGCAAGTTGACAGCTGAAATTTAGCTTGCACAAAAAATCCACAACCCAACTGCCTGCGACACCGCTGCGTCCAGTCGCCCGGAAGAAGTTATCACGAATGAAGGCGCCAACTGCTCCAGGCAAAGTCCTTTCAAGCGCATTTATAGCTGAGGGTCTAAAGGAGAGATTGAACGAGTTCCAAAATACATGTACCATCCTTGTCCCTACCACCATGGCACTCTTTCCGGCAACGACAATACAAAAACCGATCAGACATCAAACATGCTTAGATAAATCACTGAAATGCACACTGAGCTTCTCTACTTGTCCCAGAAAGTTGCTTTCCAGCCCCAGCAAAGCCTGCAGAATCATGCTGATGCGCGGGAAAAAAGTGATCCAACAGAACCAGAGGAACTGTAGTACTTTGTTGAAGTTTGGTTGAAGGAAGAACTGCCTATACCTGCCAGCAAAAAGAAACATTGCTGATCAATTCAATGCGAGGCGCGACCGGTGGCAGGCGCTTAGCAGTATAACGAGAAAGGGCAGATTCAATTGCAGAGTCCATGCGGGCAGCACTTCCAGAGGATAGCTCAGTAGTTTCATCACTTCGAAAATCTGCAAAACCACTGTTACGAAGCTCACCTCGTGTCCGTGAACAATGCTTCTACAGACTCACAAGCAGGTGAAACGTTGCAACATAAGATTGTAGAGGAAGTCTGTAGAGCCTACAAACTTGCTTTTCTTCACAGAAATTGCGGCTGATTCGCTGGCAAGGCAAACTGCATCTTGAATGCCTTGGTTTGCTCCCTGCCCCAGAAATGGCGGCATAGCGTGGGCTGAATCCCCTACTAGCACCACTCGATCTCGATGCCATCGATTGAGTCCCAATGGCCTCCCAGATTGCAGTGTCTTAGTCGCAATGGCTTAATCAGTTTGTGTTTGGATCCGGGATCAAATAGGATAGGATCAAGTTCAGGATCAAGCTGCAAGAAATGAAACAACGCATTTGTTATACGGCATTTACTGTAGGATTTATTGATATTTCTTGGCGTTTGATTTCAAGCTTTACCGGCTTCACTGGCTTCGCCTTTCACAAACTCCGAGCTCGAAGAAGCGGCTGCAGCTCTTCGCCAGTTCCAAAACCTCATCACGGTGACCTGCTGCACGAAGTCGCTCCAAGCAGTTGTCCTGCACAAAAAACAACAGGAAGGTAGGAATCTGGGAGAACTTGTTTGGTTAGGGTTCTTGAAATTCTGCCAGGTTCCAGAACAGTACAAGGCCCAACGTTGCGTTTCAAACCACAAAAAACACAAGCAAGTTAGGCTCCTTGACTTCTACAGGATTCCAGTTTGGATTCTCTGCCACTGGAGCATCATCTCTAAAAACCACAGCAAGCATTTCAAACATTTTGCCATCCAAACCACCATAGGTTGCTGTCAGTGCATAAACACCTGGCAAAGGTTCCATGGCCAAACCTCTAGAAGCCGACTAAACTCCATGGACTCTGAAGAAACCCGAGACATCCACAAACCCAGAGCCATTCCGAAACGATGATCTGAACATGGTAAAGGTAACATTGGATGAAACAACACAAAGCAAATGCAGCAGGCTTGCAAGACCTCCAAAGTATAAGGGTTCAAGGTGAAGTCACGTAAAGCTTTTGTGAGGAGGGCCCCGAAAGCCTGGTCCTACTTTAAGGAACCTAATAGCGATGGCCTCCACCCTAGGTATATAATGGTATATACTTACCAGCAGTCACCACAACAGTAGCCATGGACTTTGCATCACTGCACCTTTGCTGTCACCATCTCTCCCTGTGCCCGGTCTTGAATGTACTTGCAGCGACATCCTTCCTGCTGGTTCGCACACAGGCACCTTGTCCAAACCATTGGTGAACCTCCTCCTCACAAGCTGTTGGTCTTCCTCCAGCTTCTCTGACACCGTATTGAATTCGAAGTCCTCACATCACTCCGAAATGCCAGTGATGTCAGCCGTGTGCTTTAAGCTCAACTGGCCAAACAGCAAAATATGACTTAAATGCAAATCGCACCTTGTTTCAACCAATTTTAGAAACTCCACATCCTCCCCCAAATCCAATGTGATTCCAAAGATGCAGAATTTGGATGAGTGTTTTCAAGTCACAATACGCAATTGGTGCAATTTGGGACTAGGGAATATGGGTCTGGCCTGGCTCATTCAATTTAGCACCTACGGACTATCAGCGGGTGGGACAATGCCTGTGTATCGCGGTTCTTCATCTTCCTGCAGGACTACACCACGTGCAAGACTACCAATGCCATCAGCCGCAATTACCAAATCAAAGTCCTCCAAAATCAAGCTAAAAGCAAAAGCTACATTGCGTTCAAGTACGCCCTGGAAGATTAACATGGAACCCGAAAACCTCTGGTTGATGGAGGAAGGAAGCTAGCTAGTCTTCCAAAGGTCCATGTTCAGATTCCATGCTAATCTTCCCGGGTGTAAGTTCGACAAAGAAAGCTCGGAGACACCAACCGCTTGAGGGCAACACAGGCACCTAAGGCATGACTTGACTTGACTTGAACCTGGCTGTAAGAGGCAAATGCACCAATCCACCGTCCTGCTTGGTGGAATCTGCAAAATGGCAAGTCCTGACAGTAAAAATATGAGTCTGCCTGGATCTACCTAACATCATGAATTGCAAAAAGGTCTGAGATGATCACAGTGCAAGTCACACTCATGGAAAGGTTCACTCTTGCAAAGTCAGGGTTCACTCTTCCAGGTTCTTGCTTCGCTTGGATATCTTTTAGCTCCATGCCCAATGAGATGGACTCCACTGGCAACTGATCTGCAATTGCTCTCAGCAGCGCATCACGCATGACCTCACAGCGTGCCCGGTTGGTACGCTCTGCCAGCAAGAGTTGGTTTGGAAAACATGACGCCTCGCCAAGAGAGGGAGCCAATGCTGCTCACGCGTGACGGACTGCACACTGCTCATTTCATTTAAAATAGGTTTATATAACTACTTTCTATGCATACGAATTAAAAAGGTAAATAGAACAAAGAAATCAATCTACACGGCAATGCCGGCAATTTTAAGTGGCATGGCACTGTGCAGCTGGCTGGCTCCCCATTTGGTCGACGTACAGAGCCAACAAAAGGTTTGAACGAGTCCTCAAACATGCAACAAATCCCAAATGAGCAACCTGAGTAATTATTAACTATGTTGAATCGTGTTGCAGAATTTGATGATACCGTCAATAAATCTAGTGTTTCTGCATTGCACTGCAGCTACAAAAGAATGTTTAAGCAGTGCAATTCCTGTCTGAAGCCGTGATGCCAACAGTTTCACTAGGTCCAGTTTGAGCAACTCCGAGCCATCCACTGCTCTGCTCCGGATGCGCCGCATTGCTTGGGCAAAGTTCAAATCTACTCCAAGATCTTGAAGCAATGCTGCCCCTGAATGTAGCTGAACACCACCACCCACACCAGGCCTCAAAAAGCTCCATGCCACAACTTATCGGAAGATCATGGAAGATCCAAAAATCAAATCAGCTGGGGAACCGTAATTCTGGAGAGCGCTCGTAGACCATCACATCAACATCTGGACACTCTCTGCGCAAAGCCACTGCTGAGGCCAGGCCTGCCGGCCCTGCACCGATTACAGCCACACGAGGTCCAGCATTGCAAATAGTTTTTCTGCTCCGCTTGGCCAGAAATGGCAGAGTTGACACGAGGGCAAAAGGGTGCACGCCAGGGAGTAAACGGGGTACACCCTGACGTAGAGGAAGGGCAGAAGTCGACCCGACACTCACGCGTTGCCTTCTGTGCCGATCCCACAAAGGGAAGCCGGGGACATGCGGATTGACACCAACAGGACATGCAGAAGCCATCCTGGATTCCATGATGTGCCCGTTCCGTTGGAAAAGGTCCCAAGTCCCAATCGTCTTAGATTAACGAAGCTGTCATGCACGGCATCATGCTCAGCTAGTCCTTCGCGCAAAATGCGGTCACAACAAGTATATGTATATGTTTCTAGTTTAAGTCTAAACCTTGAGACGATAACAGCACCCGATGTTCACTCTTTGGCAAGAAATGGTCAGTCGTTCCTGATTGTTGCTTCTCTCAAAGTTTTGATTGCTTGGGTTTGGAGCTGTTATTAAGCCACGGGAGAGATGTCTAATCACCTCAATCAAGCGTATGATCTCATGAGCATTTGCACGACAATTCGATTGGCTCATTTACAAACTGCAAGGAAATCAAACACACAAAACGTGCACAGGCACCTTTTTGTCTTGTTCCAAATTGTCAATGTAGGGCTGAAAAAGGCAACTTTGCATGAGACTGCTGCAAAGTTGAAACGCCAACAGAAAGAGCCTCGGCATAGAACGAACGTGTAGTCCAGCACAAAGTAACAATGAATTTGTCTTTGGTGTTGTTCCGTGTTTTGACTGGTGCAGCAAATGTATTTTTCTCTCATTCCATCATGGTAACATCTGAGCGCAGTTGCCAACATGCTGGCAAATACAACACAGGAGGCAAAGGCATTCACCTCCAGTCCAGATCTTGCAGCCAAGATAAAGTTGGCAAGGTCTGTGAAAATCAGAGTTGCTGGAACGCTGAAAACCGTCCTTTGAAACAAAACAAACGTCCCACTATCCCTTGATTCACGTTCATTGTTTCTGGAGGGGCTAGCGAGTTTGGAAAGTGTAAAATCAATTCTGGAGCAGGGCCACTGCGGCAAAATGAGCACAAGGCTATGCCTTCCCCATACGCCTTCCCCACAGAAGGCAGCAGCAGCAACAAAGCAACTTACGTGGACACAGTTCAAAAGGTTTTTCAAGCTGACCAGCTGACACGGTATGGGCGCGGACCTAAATTCAGAGGAACCTATATTATGAGGTGATCATCATCACGATACTGAGGCACTGTGGGATCAACAGCGTCAAAACAAACAAGGAAAGTAAATTACACCAGCATAGACCCAGATAGCTAGGCAGAATCCCACGACCTGTTGACATGCGACTACGCAGCCTGCGCAGCCAGCTTACGGCGCCTCCACAGCGCGCACAATCAGCTGACACCAGCACCGGTGCGCTTTGCCAGCTGACAACACCGGCAGCGGCGCCAGCACCCGACCAGCGCCGCCGCCCGTCTTAAACGTGCGCTCAGCCAGCTCACAGCACCAGCGCCCAGGACCACAACACCAGCACCAGCACCGACACCCTTTCGAAAGCGCGCGCAGCCAGCTCATTCTTATTTGCAGCAAGAACCCCATAGCTACCCCTATTTGGGGAGTAACAACGTATGATCTTGCGCGTATAAGTTTATGCGCACAAAAGTATGCGCGCAAACAGCAAAGTGTCATTGGCCCAAGGCCAAGCAATATCCAGCTCCACTATTGACTTTGTAGCACGCTTGAAGCAACGATCTGCAGAACGATAAGGCCGCATGATCTTGCGCCGCTAATGTAGCATGCTGAAACATGCTGAAACAATGGTCGGTTGAGAGCCTGACGCTGCGCATAGAACATTATACGTACAAAAGTGTGCGCGCAAACAGCGCCCTTGACACAGTTGTCGGCCAGAACAAACCTGAAGAATGTAAATACCCCACAGCGCTAGTAGACAAAGAACGATCAAGCGACAACACCGTATGATGTTGCGCGCATAAGTTCATGCGGCCCGTGACTTCTGGCACTTCATTGTCAGAAGCGGCGCTTGGTCGCCCTTCACTGCTGCAAGCGCCCGTTTGTTAAACTTCACTGTCAGAAGCGGCGGTTATTATCACTTCACTGTCAGAAGCGGGCACCAGCGCCGAGCACCGGCGCGCCAGCTCACGGCGTCCAGCACCAGCACCCAGCACCGCCCAGCACCAGCACTGCGTCGCCCTGTCTCCACCACAGCGGCTCACAGCACCAGCGCCGGCACCCAGCACCAGCAACCTGTCTCGAAAGCGCACAGGGGCAACTCATTGTTGTTTGAAGTAAGAACCCCATAGCTTCGCTATCTGGGGAAAAACACAATGAGTGCTAAGCAGTCGACTGAAAATGTGTAAGCGAGGGCTCAAAGCGCCCGCCGAAAACATGAAACCTACCCCATTGTGGTCAGCCAACCGATGTCAATGACTCTCGCGGCTTCATGTCGACTCATCGCCCCCAACAGCTAGTTGACTGAGCTGCCTGTGCACGGAGGAATGATTTCATCCTATCGACGCGTCATCGACCACGCTCCATGAGAGTGGGCATCTGCCGGCTGTGAGCTGTGGCTGCCCGGCAGCCACCCGGGGCGTCCACCCTCCACTGACAAGCTCTCTCTTGATGGGTCGCTCAAGCGCTGCGCCTATCGGAGTGCCAGCATGCTTTGATGGAGCCCAGTGCCAAGTCGCACTTCAAGGCGATGGCAGTGCAATGAGGGTGAACTCTTGGGGAGGGCTGGCAGAAGAACGCCAAAGAAATGGCGGTCATGGGCACGAAGCCCCTTTGACTGACTGAGCGCCGAACAGGCTGGCTTACGGGGCCTCGCTCGTCCGTCCAACCAAGCAACGAACGCCACGCTGGGACCGGCCGTCCGTGTCACATCAAGAAGATCATGGATTTGGCCTCCGGAACAGTATGGATGCGGAAGGTGACAAGGAAGGTCATGCTTGGTGGCCATGATGCACTCCACGTCAAAATCTTCCAGCTTTCATTGGATTCTTCCACACTGATTGTCTTCTTTTTCTTTCATTAATGCTTCTGTAGCCATTGGCTGTAAGCCCTCAAATGCTACCATTCTCACAATCATCTTGGCAATCTTGTTGACCTTTCCTGCCAAGTTCTTTTTCTCCTCATACACCTTTCTCTCACGCTCACCTACTCTTGTTTGCTCTTCACTGTGCCAATACCCAATGAGGTTCACCAAGTATCTGATTCTTTGTCCTCCAAGTGGCGTTGTATTGATGTCTGCCCATATGCCTCACCTTTCCAACTCCTCTCTTCATCACAAGTTGGTGAAGATACGATGGTCCACCTTTGTCCCAAGCGCGAAGAAATCAAGAATTGAGCGAATGTAGATACCATATGACGCTGAAGATACTATTGCGCGCAACTCTGCTTCGCATGAAGATAAGCTAATAATGATCTTCTGTGTCCTGCTGCTGTTGAACAATGGACAACTGCTCAATGCATGAAATCCTCCTGATTTTGACTGTCTGTGGCTTTTGTTGCCACTCCAGTCTGACAATGTTTCCAAGCACCAATAGCTTTCCTTCACATAGCCTTCTCCTGCTTGTGGATAATCAACTACTCGACAATCGCCCAAGGTCTTCTTCAAGTCTCCTAAGAACTTTTTCAAATGGTGAAATGACATAGCTGTTGTTCTTGAAGCCAATCCCTTCACTGTAAACGCTGCATCATACCTCTCTTGGCATAAGTAGATACCTGATCCAACAATGCTTCTGAATAGGCTAATCTTCTCTTGCGCACGCAAAACTTCGGATTTGTCTTTCACCTGAAGTGAGTTGCCTGACGGTAGTTGTTGGGGCTTGATCTTTCCAATCTGCTCTTCATAGGCTTTCAGCATCTGCTGGATGTAGTTACCTGGCTGAATCCATAGTCCATCTTTCTCTAGTGTCAGAGGTGTCTTGAACCTTTGGAAGAACGATTTCATTAATGTACTGTGAACCATCTGTGAAAATCAAGTCATCCACATGGGTCAAAATGATACTCTTTTCATGTCTTCCCAGGCGTGGACACTCAGCACTGAACTTGTAATTGAGTTCCTCGGTGAAGTACTCTGTGAAAAAGTCAAACCACGATTTTGCTCCAACTTTTTGTCCAGGAAAATTTCTCTTCACCAAGAATTCTTTTCCTCTCAAGTTTAGATTCAATGGCTTCTCTTGTGGAACTTGCAAAACTGCATCTGTCACATCGAGACATCCAAGCATCTGGGAAAATGCTCCTCCTCCCTCTCTTGCTTCTTCCTCCTCACTGACTCTCTGCAAGAAGTTTGTGGGCAGAAGCTTCAGTACATGTCCTGAAGTCGCTGGTGGGAAAATGTCATCTCTCTTTCCTTCAGCAAAAGCAAATTCTCTCGCAACTAGTCTTGATCTTCTCTTCCGCCTCTTGGCTGTCGTTCCATCTTCACGGTGGAATGGTTTCTTTCTCTAGTCATACACATTGCGCGCTGTCAAGAAACTGATTCCTTCTGCGCTGCCTTCTGGTCTCTCTGGCACTTCCATCTACTGGAATCCTTTTTCTTCCACTTCATCAGCTACCCTGTCTATCCTTTCTTCTGGGCCCCCTTCTGGTTCATGTTCTTCATCACGCCATAAGCATTCAGGTCCGTTGACTGCATCTCCTTCCTCAACCCCTTCTTCTTCCCTGTCCTCTTCATCAACTTCTTCTGCAACTGGGATAGCTCATCATCTACACGATAAAGATTTTCACCTGCAACTTTTACCAAATTGATCTTGGCTTTCTTGCTTGAACCGTCTGATGGCCTGAGCTTCTTCATTGGACCTTCTTCCTCAAGCAACTCAAAAGGCTTCCCTTGGTCTTGAAGGCGCTGATGGTGATCTCAATGAAGATAGTATAGGAGTAACTGGATTGGGTTGTCCTGCTGGGAATGATGTAGATGGGAACGCTTTCACCTTCTCAAGTGTTCTTTTATCTGCAAAGAGAACTTTCTGCTTCTTACTTGGCGTTTCTTCTCCACCTCGCCTTCTTCCACCTACATCTCTTTTCATTGCTTACAGAGAGGGCTCCAGCGGGGCTGGAATCGGCATTGGTTCTGGGAACAATGCCTCTTCTTTCTCTCAACCACTTCCTCCTTCTGGAGCTTTTGCCATAGCTGCCTCTGCGTCTTCATTCTTGAACTTCAACATCACGCGTTCTCGAGGAATGTCTGTTTGCGCTGCTGGCAATGCTTCTGCTCTCCTCTCTGCGGCAATGATTCTGCCTCCAAAGCTTGTCTGACATTCCCATGAATATGCATTGAAGCCTTTGTAGATTGGTAAGTCATTGGACCAATCCTGTTCTGTTCTTCTGATGCACTTGCTTAGCACTACCTGCACACCATCTGTCAACACATAGGTGTCTTGCATGGATACCATCCTGCTTCTCCTTTGTTGAGACTCTTGACGCAACCACGAACTGGTTCACCGTATTCAGCAAAAAGTCCTTTGCAACGAGCGCACAGGGAGTTGCACCCTTGACTGGCTGAAAGCTATTCAGCACCCAACTGGCATGTCTTGCTGCCCAAGTCCAAAGTGCATGATCTGGTCCTATTTTGATACCGAATATTGACTGCACACCTTCAATGAAACTTCCTGCAAGCTTTCTGCATGATCTCCCAGCTTTGAAGTAATCAATCTTGTAGTAAGTCCTAAAATGTGGCGAGCACTGATCAGCATCTTGAGGATCTGTCTTGCTGTGGGCTCATTGTCACTCCTGTAGGTGATTGCTGAATACCCCCACAACTGACTGAAATTCATCGAATCAACTCTTGCCCGATGAGACAAAATTGGTTCTTGCTTCCTAATGGCACAACATGGATGTATCCAGTTTGGCTGTCAACTGCAACTAAAAAAACTGCCCTTGCTGACTTTGTCTCTCAATCTCTTGCTCTTGCGTAGAAAAAGTCAAAGCTCACTTCAGGTATACTTCCTCTCTTTACTCCATCTGTTCTCTCATGGCGATCTGGACGCGCTGGACGTTCAACGCACTCCTTACACCATTTGGCATATGGCATATGCGTCAACCTGTGCCTTGCCTGAGTGGCTTCATCTGGCATTTTTTGCAACGCTTTGTCCTAGTGCTTCTCTCGTCTCTTGAGCTTTTGCGTCACTCACCAAGCGTTTGGCATTCAAGAGTTCCATCTTTTTGTTGTGGCTGAGGATCTTCGTGTAGACCTTTAGCTTAGAGCCACAAATGAACATGCTGCCCTCAAAGTTGCTAAAGAAGAACCCTTAGTCAACTCTATTCCATTCACCAAGGCTTTGTCTACATCCATTGGGCTCAATTGTAGTTCACCTTCAAGGTCTTCATCTTTCTGTTCCGATTCTTTCTTGTCTTCTACCTCCTTCTCCGGTGGAGTAGGGGTAATCTCTTCGATTGCCTGCTCCACTTCTTTCGTTCTCACTTCTCTGTTTTCAAGCTTCTTGTATCCTGGTGCAAAGAATCATATCTTCTGGTGGCGCTGGCTCATAGCTGAAGATTGCGGTTGAAGGAGTGACTGCATCATCATCAAAGCAGTGCTCATCAAGTTCCTCCTTTTTCATCATGCTCTCACAATATTCATGCACTGGCCATCTACCTCCTCTTTTCACCAAAGTGGTTCTCATCAACTCTGGTGACTCTTCCACTTCTGGAATGACTGTGGGGTCCACGAATCTTGAAGTCAATAAGCTTCCAACTAGCAGTCCATGCTCATTGAATCTCCAACCTTCCGCCTTCTCGAAAGCTTCAGGTACTTGCACCTCCAAGCAGCTTTCATCTCCATCTCGAATGACTCTAATGCGGCCTTGAACTGTCATCAAAGAGCGATTTTGCAGGTTGAGTGGTACCTTCAAGTCACCAGTCTCCAACATTTGCTCTCGGCTATTGATTCCCCAGCCATGCTCCATCGGTCTTCCATGGCAAAGTATGGGCTGATTCACCTTTGAACTGGAACTTCACGTCTATCAAGGTCACACAAGCAAATTTCAAGATTTTACACACCCCCACTGGGGATACGGTTCCTCTGCGCATCTTGCAGTGCTGAACTCCAATTCACCTTCACCAGTCCAGCTGTTTGGGTTCCAAAGGCCCCAAATCTATGGCTCGAAATCGCACCCGGATCCCTGTGACCTGGGGGCTTTTTCTCTGGAGCTCGAAGGGGGTTACCCTTATCCCTGCTCCGCTACCATGCGAACTTTTTTCTGAATCCAAGAGGGCTGCGCGCAAGTCAAGTGTACACTCTCTGATGCTAATGATGATGTTCCACATCTAGGCTGTGGTCTACGTTGACATTGCGCACAGTTAGCAAAATGAAAAGAACACCTAAACTAAATTGAATCTATAAACTGAATCTAACATAGCTGGTGAAAGACATGCTTGTGTCACAGCGCACGGGTGAATATGCGAGTGGGCGAACAAGTGAGCATGCGAGATGAACGAGACGTGGGAATAGTTTTGCCCGAGCTCGGGTTCTGTAAGGAAAGAGGGGGCAAGGCAGGCCGCTTTCTGGACAATTCCTTTTTGTTTAGCCGGCCCTGCCTCCTTGATTAAGTAGGCACCTACTTAATTAAGGGAGAAGTTCGCTCCTAGCTAGGACGCAGGATAGCTCAAACTTCTTCAGGGAAGCTCTCCCCACCCGAGGGCGGGGGGAGCTTCCTTGAAGAAGCGTGCGCTAATGATTTTGTTCCTAGATGTTTAGGGAAACTCAACTTGTAGCTTAAGTAAGCTCCTAGTATCTGGATGCAGGAACTCACGCTTCTATTCAGGTTTATTCAGGTGGCAAAGCTTGTCCTGGCCAACGGAGGCCAAACACACTGAGTGTGCAAACAAATATGTCCAACGGCTTGGTTAGGCACTGCTTTTACAAGCTGTTCGGATGGGTCCCTGCACTGAAAGTGTTCACAGTGTGCACAAGCTCTGCAACTCTGATGAGTTACAGTATTCAAAAACTACACTTTCAAGCAAATACCCTGCAGGTTAAACAAATTAGAACTTGCAGCAAGTTGAGACGGATTCGTGTCTAGAAAGCGTTCATTGACAGGTCAAAATCAGTCAGCACGTAGTGCACCGTAGTGCTTGCTGCGATGTATTCTGTGTGGTACAGCAAGGTGAACTGGAGGCTCATACATAGGACGTTACGAGTTATGATGCATCCGACCCTTGCTTTGCAAGAATGAACTCAGAGCCCCTTCAAATGCTATTTGCACTGGGAATTCCGGTTGCCCGACTTTCATGAACATCTTATGTACAAAAGAAAGGAGAAAGCACGCACCCTGCCAGCATAGACAAGAACAGGGCTGCAGTTTGCCACCGAATTGCTCATCCCTGGCAAAAACAACAATTTGTATGGGCCTCAGACCACTGTAGCCCAGACCACAATTTACATAAATGTAATACAGTATATATGTTTGTTCCATGGAAACTAGCTGAGTCCGGTTGTACACATGCCTCGCATGTGTGTACACATACACACAAGTGGTGTGAGTCTCAGGGTACCTGTACTTGAAAAGCTCTCCCAGCCCTACCTTTGTGTAAGATACAGTATAGATTTAATTAGTATAGATGGCTTGTATACACGTATATATAATACGCTGTAGCATACACAATTCCTCTGAGAGGTGTCCGGCTCTAAACAACAATCATCTTGCAAAAAGCTGCAGAAGTCAGGGCAGCACGTAAACTGCTGGCCCCGTCAGCATTTCCAACCCCATCAGGAACAAGACCTTGCGGATTTGAACGTTCTCATCTTGACAAAGGTGCTAGCAAAATGAGCCCCCAGCAAGTGCCAAAGTTGAACGAGTAACAGTCGAAAGTGTGAAGAAGTCCCTGAATTCTGCCAGAAGCTGATCAAGATTCAACAATATCCGTGCCAATCACTCAAAAGAAGGAGTTTGATCCAGTTCTTGGTATCAAGACCCCTGACTTGGTATAGCTTGGAAAGCAAGAAATGTCTAACTTCCGGCCTGACCACAAAGAATAAGGAGCGGATGGCAAACAAGGCCAGGATCGAAGAGCTGAAGGGATCACAAAGGAATTTCTAGATCAAGGGAAGGTACAGGGACCGAAACATTCTCAGCAAGTGCATAGACTTCAGACCTGAAGTTCAGAAAGACGTCATCAGAAGCTTCCGATTTTGCCAGCACAACCTTGGCACAAGTACAAGCAACAGTTTGTAAGACTTTACGAGGTGTATGATTCCAAATAGTGATCGAACTTGCAACTTAGCACCGCCCATATATACCTGAGAAGGGAGGGGACGAAAGGCAGCCACCGTAAAAGATATTAATATGGTCATGGGGGGTGAATGCGAGAGCCCCGGTGAGCTCCACACCTCCTTTCCTATCACCTCCTCCCCCGCTATGCCCACTTTGTACATGAACTCCCACTCCATATGGGGTGCCCTTTTGCGTCTGGTCAACAGGCCTCTTCACCAATAAAAAAGGGCACCCCCAAGCAACTCGAAGCTTGCCGGCTGAATTCTGTTCCTCTCAATGAATGGGTCACATCGTTTCTTGCAATCCCTCATTTTCCTATCACGTCCTCCTCCGCTATGCCTGTCTCGTCCACATGAACTCCCACTCAAAAGGGCAACTAGGCCTCCTCACCGTTAAAAAAGGGCACCCCCAAGCAACTCAAAGCGTGCCAGCTGCATTGTGTTCTCTTTCCTGCCCTCAACCAGCATTACATGAACTCGCACCCCCTATGGGGTGCCCTTTTGCGTATACGTCTTCACCATTAAACAATGGCACCCCCAAGCGACTCTAGCATTTCTTGCAAGCCCTCTTTTCCCTACGCTATGCCTGTCTTCCACCTTGCCCACAGCATTCTGGTTCCTCACAGATCACACAGTGTCTCAAGAGACACACACACACACACACCTCCCTTTCACCCCTGGTCTATTTCACTGGTCATGGAGCAGCTCCAACCACCTTTCTCGTCCCGTTGTCCCCTCTTTCCTATCATTGACATGAACTCCCACCCCTGGTAGAAAACGATTTACATTGCCTCCTGAGCCCCTCGCGACGCTAATGATGCACTACTGGCCGTCAATTACATCACCGGCATCAGAACACCCCTCAAACCACTCATCTTTCACTACCAAGTGGCCGCCTCTTTTTTTTGTCGCTCTCCTTGACCAGGCTCTAGGTTCACCTCTCCAAAAAGTAGCCACCACGTAACCAACCCCCCCCACACCCCCTTTACTCACTTTGTTCGCTCAGCTACCTCAAGCCCAGCCTGTCGGCTGGCTTTCGTGATATATATGTATATATAGGGGAAGGGTCGGCACGTTCATCTGCTATTTTGGAGCAAAGAAACACGGTGAGGATGACGTCAAAACCACTACAGCTTACGATGACAAAACACGTTGCAACAAACTAAGGTAGAGTGTGCAATGCAGGAAAACACATATTCGAAAGGTCCGAAACCAATCAAACATGTTTTTGTGTATCCGAACTCAATCGCAGGAACACCAAGGGATGCCGAAACTAACTTTAATATAAGGCTGCAGTGGTTGCTTGCACCTCGGGAGCTGATGGTTACAGCTGGATTCTAGGCAGTCGAAGGTGCCATAGCATCCTTCAACCTTGAAGCACACCTGTTGAACTGAGCTTAGCTTCAGTTCCATCCGGAAGTTGGTTGAGTTATGCCGCCAGAGTTGGCTTGCTCTTTGAAGAACATCATTCACTCTTTCCTGCTTGAGTGCCGAGTTTGCAAAGCACAAACAATATACTCACCGGCGGACTGGATTCATCAAACAAAGAGGTTTGGAACGTGTGCTTGAGTGCAACCTAACAGTAGGTGAAGATAGCAGTCTTCAATAGTCTTCACTAGTTCACACGACAATTGTGAGCAGGCCCAGTTTTCAAGCGACAGCGAAAGGACTGATCAAATTGCTGTATATAAATTGAAGGCGTCATGCAAAAACAAGGCTACGGCGCCGTGAGCGGCTGTGAGTATTTTGCTACTTTTTACTATCGCTTTTGTCAACTTCCAGTTACCAGGTTGCGTTTAGGGCTTAGGGGTGGTTTGCGGGGTTCCAGTGAGGTTCCCTTTTTGGGGGGGGTTTGGGTTACGAGGTTGCGTTTAGGGGTGGTTTGCGGGGTTTCAGTGAGGTTCGGAGGGTGTCGCCGTCTGCTTCGCTCTTCGCTCGCAGTCTTCGCTTCGTTCGTGTGGGACCTGGCGCATGCGTGTGCCATTCTCAGATCCTCAAGCTTACCGAACCGACCGTTTCCACTCCGCCATGCTGACGGCTGTGGAGTTCTTTGAGTTATTCTTGCTGCTGCTGGCTTGCGTCAGCTACAAGGTGTACCGTGGGATTACTTGCTCAATGAGTTGGTGTTCTTGCGTCAACTGACTCCGCTGCTGGTGATGAGTCGGTTTGAGTTGTACGAGACGTGCATGGTGTTTTCCCCTCGACTCTATGACCCGGTCGTGTCTTCAACTCTACTTCTCACAGAGAGCCGCAGGGAAGTGCTTTTGTTCTTTTTGAAACAGCAGAAAGATGGTGGCATCTTTGTTCATTTCTTTCCAAGGTTGACTCTCGTAGCTACGGTAGTCTGCACACA